CCATAATGCTAAAATTCAGGGTTCGATTCCTACAGCTGGCACAGCACAGATAACTCATTGTTCAGCTATGCGCTAAAACAAAAACGGATTTTCTATGAAATACTTAACGTATCATATTTGAAAAATTAGTTAACATTTTCATACATGCAACGACATAGACTTAGATCTCATTCATAGTTCAACTTATTGTTGTCAGTAAAAACGACACTCTTAGAACATATTAAATAGTCAGTAAAAACATGACTGATGTTGTTGTTATTTGTTATTAAGCACAAAGATACACAAAGGGCTATCTGTGCTCTTCCTACCACGGGTATCAAAACCCGGATTTTAGCGGTATAAGCCCGCAGACATACCACTGTGCCGCTGGAGAGCAAAAAAGACTGAGAACCTGCTAGTAAAACAGTAATAAAAAGTAAAAAACGACATTATTAGGATCTGATAGTAAACATTTAAGAAGGTCTTCTATTCAGACACATGACGTCTGTTATCTGTAAATATTTTACGTATGTGTTTTCACTATTATGCTTTGAACAAACGTTCAAAGTTTGTGGCCATAATCATGTACAGTATTCCTTCTCTCTCTCTCTCTCTTTATATATATATATACAAATTAAATTGTAAGAACAGTATTTTATAATTACACACACATATATATATACATAAAACTATTAAAAAACTTTATTTACTAATTTAACTGAAATATAAGACAAATCTAACTAGTCTGACAAGTAATCATAATACTGAAAACAGCTCCCTCTGACGACTTACTTGACACATTTTTCTAAATTATTTATGCACCAGATTGCGCGAGAGTTCATGATTTTGTCAGTTACTGGTCCCTTAATAACATAAAAAGAATATGTAAATAAAAATACTATGAATATTACATTGTTGCTGCTGGGGGTTTGTTTCTTTTATATTTTACAGATTGATAAATGAGAGATTTCGCTCAGTAGCTCTTTATCAGCTCTTTATACTTAGTGTGTGTGTGTATAAGACTGTGTAAACCCCACCAAATTAAAATATAACAACAGACTTACACAGAACAATTACCATAACTCATGTGACTAGTCATCCTCATTCAAACTTAAGGAAGGATCATAACCTTGGAGCTTTACCCAATCAACCATTAGAAGACACTGTTATCAACTTAACAGCCAAAAACATAGATACGTAAAGTATGGCATAATCTAGTTAGATCCAACTATCTGGTTCTTAGTCCACAAGTAAAAATTGTTTGTTAAGATTAGATCAAAATAGTTTGTTCTTAGTCCACAAACGAGAATTGTTTGTTAAGATTAGATCAAAATATTTTGTTCTTAGTTCACAAACGAGAATTGTTTGTTTAAGATTAGATCAAAATATTTGGTTCTTAGTCCACAAACGAGAATTGTTTGTTAAGATTAGATCAAAATATTTTGTTCTTAGTCCACAAACGAGAATTGTTTGTTAAGATTAGATCAAAATATTTTGTTCTTAGTCCACAAACGAGAATTGTTTGTTAAGATTAATGTTTTTCAAACAAAGACGGTCCCGGTGAGATCAAACCTGGTTATCTAGGCTTCATTAGATACGAAGACTAACCGTTAAGATTTGATCCAAATAATTAGGTTTCATTTCACAAGTAAGGACGGACTCAGCGAGATCCGATCTAATAACCTGGTCTTCATATCACATCCCAGGACAGACCGTTGCCATTAGATCCAAATAATTAGGTTTTATTTCACAAATAAATAGATCCAATGAGATCCGATCCAATAACGTGGCTCTCATATCACATCCGTGAACCAACCGTTAACATTTGGATCCAAATAATTAGGTTTTATTTCGCAAATAAATAGATCCAATAACGTGGATGTCATATCACATCCGTGAACCAACCGTTAACATTTGGATCCAAATAATTAGGTTTTATTTAACAAATAAATAGATCCAATGAGATCCGATCCAATAACGTGGCTCTCATATCACATCCGTGAACCAACCGTTAACATTTAGATCCAAATACTTGAGCATGAGGTCTGTATTTACAAACGACCAACGTAAAACACTATATGTGTACAACGAATAGATAAAGCTACACAATGGGCTATATGCGTTGCGGCCACCGCAACGGACGAACTCAGATTTTTAGAGTTATAAACCCTCAAACTTATCACTGATCCGAGTATGTGTGTGTCTACAAAACTTCTGAAGTAAAACAATACGTCCAGGTGGTTAGGGCGCTCGACTGGCAATCTGAGGGTCGCGGGTTCGAATCCCCGTCACACGAAACATGCTCGCCCTTTCAGCTGTGGGAGCGTTATAATGTGACGGTCAATCCCACTATTCGTTGGTAAAATAGTAGCCCAAGAGTTGGCGGTGGGTGGTGATGACTAGCTGCCTTCCCTCTAGTCTTACACTGCTAAATTAGGGACGGCTAGCGCAGATAGCCCTCGTGTAGCTTTGCGCGAAATTCAAATAAAAAGTAACACAATACAGCAGTATCGTCATTATTCCTATAACTTAAGTTATAACTGGAACGTTCAAATGGCCTACAATTATTATGTCTTAAATAGAAAGTACGCACAGAACCAAAATATGAATATGTATTTATCAAGTGTTCTAACCCAATAAAAAAAAAGTGCGTAAAATATACTAGGAAGTATACATAAAACTTAACACATAGAATGATGGGATTAAGACTGTTTTAAGATCGTGGAATAACCAGTTGTAAGATCGCCTAATTATAAAGTTATTCTTGTATAGTGATTTGGTTTTAACTTTTATTTGCTAGAAAATAAATCACAAAACATAAGGATTTTTAACATTTCTAAATTCTTTTCCGATAATTAGTTTAAAACATTTCGAATAGAAGTATTTTTGTAGCCGCGGCAAAACGGCTCATAGAATGGCTCCGAGTTTTTTGCCAAGTAGAAACTTTTAGCTCATAGCTCCGTCATCTCTTGACCGATTTGAGATTTAATTACAGTTTTGGTCTCAGGAGGTCAAACCCTTTCGATTGATGTATTTGACCACGCCCAAGGTTTCATAGATTAATTTACTCCAATCCTGCCTAAAAGAATTTCAATTTCAGGGTAGGCTTTGAGTTTTTTGTTTTATATACATCAATATGTACTGAGCTATTACTGTTTTCGTGACTTCATAATTGAGTGAAGTGTGGGGAGCTTTAACCATTCTCGTGATTTCACAATGTTGTTCAAAGTGTGGGGAGCTTTAGCTCTTTTCGTGACTTCACAGTGTTGATCAAAGTGGGGGAGCTTTAACCCTTTTCGTGACTTCACAGTGTTGATGAAAGTGGAGAGCTTTAACCCTTCTCGTGACTTCACAGTGTTGATAAAAGTGGGGGAGCTTTAGCTCTTCTTGTGACTTCACAATGTTGTTCAAAGTGTGGGGAGCTTTAGCCCTTTTCGTGACTTTACAGTGTTGATCAAAGTGTAAGAATCTATACCTCTATTCGCGACTTTACAGTCTTGAGTGAACTGTCAGGAACTGTAGCCCTCCTCGTGACCTTACAGTGTTGATTTAAATGCGTGGAGTTATAGCCCTCCTTGTGAATTTACAGTGCTGATCGCAGTCTACGAATCTATTGCCGTCCGGCCTGGCATGGCTTGGTTGTTAGGGCACTCGACTCACAATCTGCGGGTCGCGGCTTCGAATCTCATCACCGAACATGCTCGCCCTTTTAGCCGTAGGGGCGTTATAATGTGGCGATCAATCCCACTATTCGTTGGTACAAGAGTAGCCTAAAAGTTGGTGCTGTTGTCTATCACTTCAAACTTAGGGACTGCTGGTGTAGATAGCCTCGAGTAGGTTTGCTCGAAATGCAACCAGACAAACAAAATCCTTGTAACTTTATAGTGTTGTTCGAAGTGTGGGAAGCTATAACCCTCCTGGTAACTTTACATTGTTGATTGATATGTGGGGAGTTATAACCCTTCTTGTTACTTTATAGTGTTGGTCGAAGTGTGGGGAGCTATAATCCTCCTAGTTACTTTACATTGTTGATTGATGTGTGGGGAGTTATAGCCCTTCTTGTTACATTATAGTGTTGGTCGAAGTGTGGGGAGCTATAACCCTCCTTGTTACTTTATAGTGTTGGTCGAAGTGTGGGGAGCTATAACCCTCCTAGTAACTTTACATTGTTGATTGATGTGTGGGGAGTTATAGCCCTTCTTGTTTCATTATAGTGTTGGTCGAAATGGGGAGGGGTTATAACCCTCCTTGTTACTTTATAGTGTTGGTCGAAGTGTGGGGAGCTATAGCCCTTCTCGTGATATTAGAGTGTGAGACAACGATGTTATAGCTTTTCTTCTGAGTTCACATGGGGTTAAAGTGTTAATCAAAATATGTAGAGTTATACTTGGGCCTCATCCTCTCGGTGACTTTTACAGTGGAGGTCAAAGTGCGGGGCTACAGCCTCCACAAACCATTAGTACAAATTAAATGGAGGGAGAATACGCTTTGTATGATTTGTGAAATATAAATATCAAATTTTAACATGCTCTTCTGTACCCAAATCTGGCATTCACCGTTTCGCTCGAGCGCAACTACCTCTGTACAGTTAGATGTTTTATTTCCATCACGGCCCAGTCGGAGTGTCCTTTCTACATATAAAAACACGTTCTCTTGTGTTTATAATTTCCGTTTACTCGTGGAAAAAAACGGTTTTCCATTTTGTATGCTTTAATATTTGTACAACAGCGTTAGATCTTAAACTCGTATCAACATATATATATATGATGTAGGTTGTATATAAATATGTTATAGCTCTGTGTTTGCACAGTTATCCTGGTTTATATGAATCGAATATAATACGATATGTGTTAAACTGGCTAGTTAGCTTAAATACCTGAACTTTATAACTATATTTACAGCTGTTTTATGTTGCGTATTCACCAATAAATGCTACACACAAGATGAACATGTTTCTTACGTGATCAACTTGGCTTGAGGTGTGTTTATTTAATTAAAGTTATTTAAATCTGCCCTCACAGAGACCGGAGATGACGCAAAGGACTCTTCGGGACCACGTCAATACAGTCCCGAGACGTACCCGCAACCCCGAGCCAAGAAGAAGCGCTCACGAGCGGCGTTCTCCCACGCGCAGGTTTTCGAGTTGGAACGACGATTTAGCCACCAACGCTACCTTTCTGGGCCGGAGAGAGCAGACTTAGCTCAGGTATGCAGTACGCAACCCATGTTAGCTTCGTTCTTTACTTCATCATTCCACAAACTCAACTTAAAGCCATTTCTCTAGCCTATTACCTTATAAACCTTATCCAGGAATATATTTTCAAAGAACCGTCCCTCTAGGCAACCAAAGAAGCCCGCCCCCTAATAGTTCTGGTGCCCTTTTTATTTTTCTTCTTACAAAAAAAAATACACTGATGTTAAATAAAGCCCTAAATTATCACAAATAAGGTTAAAGCCGGATGCTACTTTTAATTTTTAGATTTAAGGTCATTTTGGGGTCAAAGGTAAAATAAATGCAAGTTTTAAACTGTAAGTATATAAAATGGTCAGTTATGTACTTTAATGATTACAAGAATAGAAATACCAATTCCTAAGCTAGAATTTTATTTTCAAAACGAGACCCAAAACTCGAGCGTTTTCGAATAGTTGACTATTCTTCTTCAGAAGCGCTCGAGTTTTGGGTCTCGTTTTGAAAATAGTACAACTTTTGTAGGTGATCCTGTGTGCCAACTACTTAACCTGTATACAACTTTTGTAGGTGATCCTGTGTGCCAACTACTTAACCTGTATTTTATTGAATGTGTATTAAATATATTGAAACAATTTAGTTCTTTGTGTATTTAGGCCCCTACTTTATGTTTCACGAACGTAAATACTTACATAATTATACTAATTAGAGGGAAGGCAGCTAATCTTCACCACCCACTGCCAACCCTTGGGCTACTTTTGTACCAACGAATAGTGGGATTGACCGTCATTTTATAACGCCCTCGCCGAATCTCAGAGCGCTAGAACAGGACTCATTACTGAATAATATACGGTCGAAACACCTTCTCAAGCTTTTCTCTTTAAAATACTGACAACTAGAGTTGTATGACGTACTTTAAGTAAGGTTATATAGATACAAGTTTCTACCAAACACAAGTCTGTTTGAAAGGTACGTACGTACACATCAAACTATCTAACATATCCATAAATACGGGAGGAGAGATTTCAAAATCATTTCTTATTTAGTAATACAATAAAACAGTTCGACTTTGTAAGTTCAAAATATTATGTATATTTTAGTTACACACTTTACATAGCAAATGGTAATCAGTATATATATATGTATGTATATGTCTAAATCACACATCTAATGGTCAGTCATGTGACTTGAATTGTAACTGAGAGGTTATATGGCCTCTATTACGTATATATACTTCAGTGTTCAAAGTACTCCATGTTCATTCTGTTCGCCACAATAATAGGATACAGGTCACGAGACTGAATTAGATGTTCGCAGCCTCAACTAGGCACTATGGCATATTTGGCACGTATATCAGCTGTCTAATGAGGTGCGCTCCATTTACTTCGGCACAAGACAATTTGCCTGCAATGGAGCCAATAATACATCCAGTAAATCAATGAAACACAGAGTTAAAAAAGAAAATCACAGATGAGTCGCTAAGTAACAGACGTACACTCCATTGGAAAAAATTCCGAAACTAGATCCAACCCGTTTTTCTTGCAGGAATGTGACGCATATGGCGGTGATGGAGGCGTGGTGTGGGCAAGAATAAGTACTAGTGGGCTTACCGACTTATATTTCCTACAGAATGGTGTTATTTAAGCCTCGTATTATAAACCTTTAAGCTGCCATACGCTGGTGACATTTTCCTTAACTTTACCTAAAGGACTATCCGCCTTATCCTCCGCCATGCTAAACCGATCAACACATCGTTTCAAGAATACGGGTCTTAACTGAATGGAGTGACCTACACGTTAACTGGACTTCATTGTCATTGAACACGTACCGGTCAAGTGATTCTAGATATTAAAAATGACCTTCAAACGGTTCTTTCAGACGATTGGCCAAGAATTCCTCAAAGTCTTATCAATACTCCAATTTTAAACGTGTCCTAGGTTGCATTTTCGGATTGGGGAGTTTACACTCCATATTCAAAATACCATGAAATACAAAGCCATCTCTGCCTAATGCTCATTTACGATAGATAAAATATATTATCTAGACTTGCGAGGTATTAAATAATTTATTAATTAGAAACGAATGAACCAGATAGACTTTATGTTAGAACGACAATAAAGCCAGGAAACTTGATAGGTTTGAAAATTGTACATTTTTAGTACCAAACTAAAACTAGTAAAACGTTATGTCTTCAGTAATGCGTGAAACCAAATGGTAGGCCTGGTGGTTAGGTTCGCTCAAAATTCCAATCTGCGGGTTCGAAACCCCGTCACCGAACATGCTCGCCCTTTCAGCCGTGAGGGCGTTATAACGTGACGGTCAATCCCACTATTCGTCGATAAAAGAGTAGCTCAAGAGTTGGCGGTGGATGATGTTCACTAGCTGCTTTCCATCTAGTCTATCACTGCTAAATTAGAGCCGGCTAGCGAAATTCAAACCAAACGATACCAAACCAATGGCTCTTACCAGTCATAAAAATGGTTTATTCTAAAGCACTAGACCAGTGTTACTTTAGATAATCGACTCTATTTTAGTCAATTCTAAAACGTTCAGGTCTTAATACTTGTGAGATGCTGCGTTACGTTCGGTAAATATTCATTAATTGTGTTTGTTTTGAAAAGTCTTAAGATCTTGGTGTTATTAGTTGGAAATGGTATATACATTCAAAGTTCATAACAGACCTGTACATTATTATGTAAATTAGTTGAAATCTCTGTGCTTGAGATTGCCAAGATGGCTTCAGAAAGTTTGAGCTGCTAAACATTAAAATGAATGAGTTGTTAGGTGTCAAAATGTGTGATTTGCTATTATCAGATTACACGAGCTACTATTGTCAGATTATATGAGCTGCTATTGTCAGATTGTATAAGTTGGTAGGTGTCAGATTATATGAGTTGCTAGGTGTCAGTTTATATAAGTTGCTAGGTGTCAGATTATATAAGTTGCTAGGTGTCAGATTATATAAGTTGCTAGGTTTCAGATTATATAAGTTGGTAGGTGTCAGGTTATATAAGTTGCTAGGTGTCAGATTATATGAGTTCCTAGGTGTAAAATTATATAAGTTGCTAGGTGTCAGATCATATGAGTTGCTAGGTGTCAGATCATATAAGTTGCTAGTTGTCAGCTTATATAAGTTGCTAGGTGTCAGATTATATAAGTTGCTAGGTGTCAGATTATATAAGTTGCTAGGTTTCAGATTATATAAGTTGGTAGGTGTCAGGTTATATAAGTTGCTAGGTGTCAGATTATATGAGTTCCTAGGTGTAAAATTATATAAGTTGCTAGGTGTCAGATTATATAAGTTGCTAGGTGTCAGATTATATAAGTTGCTAGGTTTCAGATTATATAAGTTGCTAGGTTTCAGATTATATAAGTTGCTAGGTGACAGGTTATATAAGTTGGTAGGTGACAGGTTATATAAGTTGCTAGGTGACAGGTTATATAAGTTGCTAGGTGACAGGTTATATAAGTTGCTAGGTGACAGGTTACATAAGTTGCTAGGGGTCAGAATGTATGAATTGCTATGACACGATTTGTTTCGTTTCTCATTGCAAGAAAGGCTATATAGAAAAAAAAGTTCTACTGCCTAAAGAAGCTATTGTTTCCTCGGATATCTGTTTCTCTTATCCATAATGTTTGATATCTATATAGATGGATCATTGGATTTGTGGATTATGTTATTATTTCTCACATATATTAGCATCATACAGAGATCATACATTACTTATCTAAATTGTTATACTAGCACTTAATTATTTATTTAGAAAAACAAGTAATTAGCTTATGAATAATTTATACACCACGTTTGATATAGGCTTAACGTAGACTTATGATATATATATGTATATATATGTGTGTATGTGTGTATTTTACAGGCACTGAAGTTAACGGAAACCCAAGTGAAGATCTGGTTCCAAAATCGACGTTACAAAACGAAACGACGACAGCTGTACAACGCAACGGGCTTAGCCACAGGGAAAAAAGTCGCCGTTAAGGTTTTAATGAAAGACGACCAGCTGGTGTACAGACGAGAAGAGTTAATTAGGCCTCCTGTCCTCTTTCCGTCTTTCCCCATTCCAGGTTTTCACTATAACTGGCTGTGTCCACCGTGGCTAATGGGTTGCACGCAGTAATTTCTCTAAACACCTTCGAGATCCCACATTTCGTCACCAACATGTCAAGGTGGGGGGGGGGGGGGGTAGGACTTAGAGCAAAACGTATCGGATACTTTGAATGGAAATAAGCTTCGAAAAAGTTCTTTTTTATTTCACAGTTATCGTTGATAAAGAAGTTATATTACATCTATCTTTAAAAAGATTCTTAAGCAATTGTATGACTTCTAAGCATTTCTACGAGCGAAACGTTTGCGATAAAAAAAAAATTATATACATTAAGATTTAATACTCTGACAGAGAAGCACCAAAATATTAGGTTTTTCTTTTTCTCCTTTTGATTTTCTTGGAAATACAGATAAAATGAAATTTTGTGTTAGATTCTAAGCCTTGTAACGTGTAAAACTTTTATTACGTGGCTTTATTAGGTTGTTCTAAGTATGATAAACTACGAAAACTCGTGTCTTTGCATGGAAATCAGTTAATGTTAGAGATTTCGAGCAGACTGGGTGAAAGTATAGACTTCCTTGGTATCAATACATACACGATGGTAAATGGACGATAATACCCTTGATAACGTTTTGGGACAACAACATGGGACCTATTGGTCCATCTCAGTTGTTCATCCTCTAAATAAACTATTAATAGACTGGGTGAAAGTATAGACTTCCTTGGTATCAATACATACACGATGGTAAATGGACGATAATACCCTTGATAACGTTTTGGGACAACAACATGGGAC